CTATATGTTATTGATTAGTTGGCAAGGTTTTGTGATTAATCATTGGTACATAAACACAAGCTTCATCTGCCTGAGTCACTATTGCATCTCCTAATGACAGATCATTGTAGCATATAGTTTGGCCGTTAGTAAAGAGAACTATTAAAATAGTTGGTGATTTTAATGTCTGCCCCAAAGCAAGTTGTGATTCAAAGGAGTTACCTTGAAAATGTTAAAATGTTTACCCTTTACCAATTTGAAGAGTGATCAAGATGATAAAGGGTCTCGAAATCAATTCCTGCGAGGATCTGTTGAGAAATGAAATAATAGTAATCTAATATTTAAATATTTGAGGGCTTTCACAAGGAAGATGGAGGAAACATATTTTTAAGGCTTCAGATGCACAATTAATAGGAAACAACCTGAATTAATGGGTTCAAATAACAAGAAAAGAGCTTTTGACAAAACAATAGGAAGACCTTCCTGACACTTAAGGGCTGTATGGCGGTGGAATAGACTACCTCAGAAAGCTAGATTTATTTAACAGGTTGTGTGGCTATGAGTGAGAGATGCTGTAGCTGTGGATTCCGTGCTTTAGTAAAGGAGGGGATTGAGTGCTTCTTGGGGTGTGTTCCAGCTGCACACTTTTGTGATTCTGTTTGCCACAATGAAGAAATGTAGAAGAACTCTTCTGTATCTAAACCTCTGTAAAGAAGTGATGTGTTTCAATACACTTAACACATGACAAGGCAGAATTTTTTTAGTGGTTTTCCTTATGACATGTATCTGTGATAAATTTCTTTTAGGGGGAGCAGCAGACAGGGCAGTTGGGCTTCAAAAGTCAAAGAAGCAGTTTAAAGCTAATCCTGTTATTAAGCATGTTGTCCTATTACTGTTTGCTTCAGCCACCAGGCTGTCAGATAGCATTTATCAAAAGCTGCCTTTGCACAGCAGAGATGATCTGGATTTGGAAAGCTATGTACATGCCTGTGGTGCCTTGTTTTTGTTGCAAATGGGAATGACTTGTATCTGTTTATTAGTGTTGCTGAATCCTAGATGGAGTTGATGGGGAAAATCATATTTATATGACCAGGTAATTGGTAATAGATATTTTTACTAATGATCTTTCTTCGTTTCTTTTAGATAAAATGGATTTTAAATTACTTGAATGCCATCTTCTCAGCTTTTAGGTCCATATACACTCTAGGTTGTTTCTCTTTCAGCAGACAATGCAAAACCTAAAACAACACTAGAATTTCACAAGCATTTGTGTTTTTTGATCTTGTAACTTGTGTCTTTTATTCCAGAATTCTTGTAAGTGTACCTAGATAAGCAAAACATTTATTCCTCAGCTGGATTTATAATATTATAATTTTAAGCTGTTTGATAGAACTTTTTATCTATACTGAGCATGCTGTATTCTGATTTGCTAGAATATTGCAGATTGTGTGCATTTAAAACTTGGGGACACTTGGTTTCCAGAGTGTGTGAGATATTACATGAAACATCACTGCAGTGCCTCGGTCAGTTTAATAATGATGATGATGATGATCTTAGAATTGCAGAGCAGGAAGAGACCCTATGGGTCATCAAGTCACCTGTGAAGGAGGCATAGTGGAGAATTGAACTCCCAGCCTCTGATTCCACAGCTAGATGCGTAAACCACACATTTCTATGGCTAAGCAGAGGTTTAAACCCAGGTCACTTGAGTCATAGTCTGATAATCTAGCCACTAACCACATTGGCTCAAAGAAAACAGAAGTTCTAATTCGAAGACCATTTTAAAGTAAAAGCAAGAGGAAGGAAAGAACAAGATTATTATATCCTTCACATTTTCCAGTAGCAATTCTTATTTATCCCCTATAAAGGGTTTGTACACCAAACTGTATGAGAAGTAGTTGAGGAAGTTGGACCTGTTTACTCTTTTGAAAAGAAAACTGGCTTAGATATGGCAGCTGCCATTAAATAATTGAAGGGTTATCACATGGAAGGCCTTTGTGAGATATGTGAAGGCCACAAAGAGTGGCTGTTGTTGATGCCTACATTTCTCCTGCAACTGTTCGAAGGAGAATACCATGTCAGTGAGAGCTGGACCATAAAGAAGGCTGACCGCCAAAGAATTGATGCTTTTGAATTGTGGTGCTGGAGGAGACTCTTGAGACTTCCCTGGATTGCAAGGAGAACAAACATCCATTCTGAAGAAAATCAACCCTGAGTGCTCACTGGAAGGACAGGTCCTGAAGCTGAGGTTCCAATACTTTGGCCATTTCATGAGAAGAGAAGACTCCCTGGAAAAGACCCTGATGTTGGGAAAGTGTGAAGGCAAGAGTAGAAGGACGACAGAGGACGAGATGGTTGGACAGTGGCGTCGAATTGACCAACATGAATTTGAACCAACTCCAGGAGGCAGTGGAAGACAGGAGGGCCTGGCGTGCTCTGGTCCATGAGGTCACGAAGAGTTGGACAGAACAAAAAATATTCTGAGGACACTACAGTATGGGGTACAATGAGTCATGAGGAAAAAGCTTCCCTTTGTATCAGGAGGAACATATTAGGAGACTTCAAGTTGTTTCTAGATGTATAGCCCCATTGAATTTCTAGTAGGAGAGATAGTCCTTTCTATCGCAGTCAGTGAAAATCCCCCCCCCCATTGGTGAGAAAAGAGTTCCTGCTAATAAAGATGGAAGCTTTTTTTTCCTTATCACTAATTGTCACCCATGCTGTAGTGCTCTCAGAGTGCTTAGGACTGAATAAAAATCAATCAGCTAACATGTGTATGTAGTTGCTGCTAAGGACTCATATGGCTGTTTTTCACCCTGCATGGAATTTCAAAAGTAGCTTAATGTAGAATACTGCTGTTACTGGAAGTTACCTGGTCTTACTTGTTGGCATTTCACTAAACTGGGCTCAAGAACCAAAAATCCTGCTTTAAATTTCTCCTCTGGGAATAATCTTTGAAAATGCTGATTAGGCTGTGTTGGATAATCCTGGTTTTTGGCATTCTCAGAATTTGCCAAAATCATTGAAATCATTTCTTTTGTCACCTCACAGCAAAGGGCACTGAACCACTTCTGCACACAGTCTACTGAGAAGCCCTCAGCTTTGAGGACTTCCATGTCAGAATCTTCAGTTCTGAAATATTCATCATTGAACTGTCTCTCATCAAAGTGTTAAAATATATGTCAGTGCTGAGTACAGACATACTGGTAGTATAAATTACAAAAATCTGACACCAAGAGGTTTGGAGGATTTGATGGCCCACAAAACAGTCTTTGGAAAATTGGCTTCTTGGACCCCAAATAAAAGAAGACTGAGAAGAAAGTTAAACATTTTAATAAATAACATTCTAGTTTGTGGGTTTTAGTGGGCTGTCTTGGCTTCCCCACTTATGACTATGCCATTGGTGTCCTTATTCCAATGTCAGTAGCTTTAAGACAGGCAATGTAGTATACTGGTTAAGTGCCATTTAGCTGACTTAAGTTCAAATCCCACTGCACATAGTACCGTGGTGCCTTGCTTAGCGATGTTAATCTGTTCCAGGAAAAACGTTGCTAAGCGATTTAATCGCTAAGCGATTTTAAAAAGCCCATAGAAACGCATTAAAACGTGTTTAATGCATTCCTATGGACTTAAAAACTGACCTTATGCAAAGATCCTCCATAGGGGCGGCCATTTTCAATGCCTCTAAAGCGAGGCAAAACAGCGGGCGGCAGTTTTGTTTTTCTGGTCGCCATTTTGGAACCGCCGATCAGCTGTGCAAAAAGGGTTGCTTTGCCATGATCGCTTCCCTGCGATCATCGCAAAGCGATTTTTCCCCATAGGGGCCATCGCTAAGCGATCACTCTGGCGATGGCCAAAACTACCTTAGCGATGGTCCCTATGGGGAAAATTTGCTTTGCGATGATCGCAGGGAAGCGATCATATCAAAGCCCCCATTTTCAGCCAGCTGATCGGCGGTTCCAAAATGGCCGCCTGCTGTGTTGCCTCGCTTTAGAGGCACCGAAAATGGCCACCCCATGGAGGATTTTCACGTAAGGTTAGTTTTTAAACCCATAGGAATGTATTAATTGCATTTTAATGCACTTCTATAGGCTTTTAAATATTGCTTAGCGATGAAATCGCTTAGCAGCAATTTTTGCTGTACGGATTAACATCGCTAAGCGAGGCACCACTGTACTTACATGTGTTCTAATATGGTTTTAAACTGTTGGCATGATAAACTATGACCAAGGATGAGGTAATTCCTGCATGTGTTACTTAAAAATTGAGGGAGAAGAGTAAAGGATGGGAAGGTGGTAATCTATATTATGGAATCATTCTGACATGTGAATAATGATGTATTTTGCAAAGTTACTGTTCAGACTTTTGATGTTCTGTACTCTAGACTGTTAAGTACATTTCCGTGTCATTATATAAATAAACATAGTAGTTATAAATATAGTATTCTGAAGCTTTAAATGAGAAAGTGGTTTCACAGTGAACCATAAAAGGATCAGCAGAGAATGGACCAGAGGAAGTAAGGATTGGCAGAGGCAAAACCAGAAGAAGGAAAGAAAGAATGTTTTCTCTGGACTGTGATATAATTTGTATTGTTTCCAGTATTAAGGCTGAACTCCCAAATCAATCTGCAGCCTCTATGACACCAGTGATTGTGATTTCAAATATAATACAGGCTGCAAATTAAATCGTAGTTGGCTTTCAACTATAGTCACACCTGAGTCCCAATAACTGTTCCACCACAGTGTTCCATAGTGGTAACCTGCTGTTAGATGCCTACCATGCTGCCGCTTGGCTGCAGCCCTCCACATTCACTACCCATTATAGGCTGGATATGATAGTTAGACCAAATGCCTCCTTTTTGCAGAACGATGTGTTGTTGTTTTTTTCATTCTTACTTGCTTGATAGCCACCTATATATGGGAGTCACACATAACTGATAACTGATTCCTCACCCCCACCTTTTTAAGTGTGAACTCATACACACCCTACATCTAACTCGTGTGAATTGTTCCTGTTGGTAGATGTGGAAATGAAGGACTATTGCCGAGGCACACTTAGGCTATGCGCTGCAGATGTGAGAGCAGGTTCCTGCTAAAATCTCATCGTTAGAATGTTCTTGGCACAGATCTGAGCAAGTGCAAGGTAATGTGCAAATCCACAGATAACTGCTCAAAGAACCCCAGTTACAAGTAAGCGACCTATCCTTTCTTCCCTCTTCTTTTATGTTGCTTCCATTGTTTTGTTGTGTTGTGTTGTGTTGTATTCTGTTCAGGTACCTGCACGCATGTAACCTACACTGGGATCTGACAAGGGAGATTGTGTTCTTATGGCACTTTCTAGTGTCTGAGATGACTAGTAGCCAATTTAATATTTCAGTTATAAGGTGTCAATATGAGAAGTAATCATCTAGAACGATTCTGGTTCCCAAATGCCTTTCATCCTTTTATGAAACACATTACAGTTCCCTGCCTGTAAATACGAACAGTACTTGATTCAAATGGGCAGTGCACATAGACAAACAAACGAAGCTCGAGAAGGATTCCCCCCCCCCAAAAAAAAACCCACATGCACCTTTCCTTATATGGATGCATGCAGATGAGTACTGCCATTTTTACTTTCTCTAGACCCCACATCTTTACTTGCCTTGCAGGTCTGTGATATGTTCATTCTTCTTACCTTTGTGTTGCTTAGTAGCCATGCCATGTTTTTCTGTGTCAGGTAATTGTTATTACAGCCTCCCCCTCAGTGGTTGTGATTCTTGCAAATGCTGTTTGCATCTAGAAGAGACTCATTAGAGGATTTGGTACCTAGTACAGAGAAAACAGTGTGCGATCCCTTTCTCTGTATGTTCTCTGTCATACCCCGTTAACTGCATCTCTCCCCGTCTTGATGTGTACTTCCTTTCAGTTTTCCCTGACCTCATTTGGAATGTTACATTTCTTTGGATAGCAATCCCGTATGTAATGAGAGATGAGGGATGGAAAGGGATGGTATGAGACAGAATGTACACGAGAGAAGGCTGAGAGTGCAAGTGAATGCTGTTTTTCATCCCTCTTTCTGCAAGTGAATTGACTTAAAAAAAAAGAGAGAAGAAATTAACATGCACCATCAGGACAGAGGTGGAGTTGTTTGAATGGTGGGGGATGGAGGAAGAAAGGCTTTCCAGATGTAATCCAAAGAAATGAATGGGGTTGCAAGGCTGCACTCTTTTCTCATACAATATTAATGGGAACAAGAAGGTGTTTTGCAAGGTTTTCTACCTGCTGCCAGGCAGCTGAAGGGAAAAGACAGAGAGAAGGAAAAAAAAATCATTTAGAGACTGCAGGGAGCTGCTTCTGCCGCCACCACAACAGAACCTCCTGAAGCCATTCAGCTGCTACAAGCCAGCAGGTGCCTTATGCACACAAATTGGTTTAATTTTTGCTTGTTTTTCTTGTTGTCTTGTCGTCTTCCTTACACCGAATGTCTTCTGCCCCCCTTCTCCTGTGTGTTTATGTTATGCTGTATTTACATTTAAGCATCTGGGCTAGCTCAGCCTATGCTAAAAACATGAAAAGGGGGATTATGTTATAGTGGTTACTGCTTTGTGGAAATTTGGCTGGTATGAATACAGATTGTGAAATTGGTGGCATTTCAAAACAATCTTGTTCACAGAGAAGGATGTGGGACACACAAATATCTACATTTGGCTGAAAGAGCACAACGTAACATAGCATAGCTTTGAGATTTTAAAGCAAACCTTACTCCTTTTAAATTCTCCTGTAGAAGGAATTGTTTGTTTGCATACAATTGTTTGAATACTGTGTGTCAGACTCAGAAATAAAACTAGGATAATATATGAAACAAGGGAAAATAGAGCCATAAGAATGAATTTATTTGCAGAGAGGCTGTGTGACAAGCTTCTAGTATTGATTGCTCTTTTATTTATAGCAGATGGTTTTATTAATTAAAATAGCTATTAACACTTCGCTTTTAATATGGAATCTACAGAAGTTTGGAAACAATGCCAGAACACTTGGTTAATTTGCTGTTTCAGTTTGTCAGCTTTAGTGTTTTTTGTCTAAAAAGCTCACTAAACATCTTACATCCTTGTACGTCTTGCTGCTTATGTCAAATGTGCTGCTCTCAACTAAATTGTAACAACTAGATGCTTCCTTAGGGTTCAAATGTGTTGGGGAAGACACATTGTCTCTCATGTTAATGGTTTTTATGCCATCCATTCTAGAGTAGTAGATTGATCAAGAGGTCAGGGACATGATTAATATGAGTCCACATGACTGACAGAAGATTTTAAGAGAACTGCATACTACTGTGCAGAATTACTCACTATTGCATTTCCTAGTATTAGAGCAGAAGGCTGGCATGCAGATGATTGTAAGTGATTTCTAAATTAAGTGAGATCTAATTAATTCTGAAGAGTCACCATGATATGACAGACGTGAAGCTCCAGTGTATGAAAGAGATTCACATCCTTACTTAGAAATGAAGTAGGGAAATGGCAGGTGTATAGACACAAAATATATGAAAACTGAACTAAGATTGAGGTATTAGTATATCTGTGGTTTAGGCCAGCAGGGTCAGAAGTATTTGTTTATTGGTTTCCTAATTTTATTGCTATTTTCCCATTTCCCCTTGATGGATTATGAGAAGTAGTAAAGATTTTGGATACCTCTTATTTAATTAAAGGCATCTTTGGAGGCTTTCTGTTTCTTATATAGAGATGTTTACAGCAGAAACTGTGAAATGCATCTGTCAGTGTTTTTTTAATGTTGTTTTTCCAGATGGAATTATTTTTCTTTTTAATTAAGTGCTGTGATAACTGAAGTAAAAAGTTGCAGAAACATTCTAGCCACAAATGTGTTTTTAATATTTAATTTATATAAGCTATATTTTGGTTCTGAATGGAAAATATCAGAATATGAAAGGTTGTGGTGTGTTCTTTCTAATCTCATTGTTGTTGGTTTTTCCTAGCTCTCCGAGCACTCCTGCCCAGCCTGGGAAGCACTGGTGGCATGTCTGGAGTAATGCATTCATAGTGGCTCTAGCAGGTGAATGTCTGTCTAGATTTGTGCATACATATGTGCACGCGCAGAAAGTTGGACTGTGCTGATGCCATGTCATCCTTTGGAAAGCTTACAGAATATTTCAGCCTAAGGAAGTCAAGGAATGAATTTCGATCAGATCGACGGTGTAACAGAAGGAGTGGCAGCTACTGCTGTAGTATCACTGAATGCAGGTAGTTGGAAACATTTCACGTTTTTATTTATTAGCCTGTGTGTGCGTTTCTCAATGTGACAAGAATGTGTAGATATAACAGTCATGATAAAAGTACTGCATAGTGTACGTAGCCACTGAGATACATGAAATCAGCTTCTGTTAAACTTTGTAAACAGTCTTCCATTTTGTTTGTGCAAAATCTTTTTCTCATTTTGTTTAATATTATGAAACTGAATTTTCCAATAAATGTTATACTGCAGTAGGAGATCCTGGGTCCATCAAACTTTGCAGATGAGAGGAAGATGTTACTGTGAATTTTAGTGTAGCCATTATTAACGTATCTCACTGTATAGCTCTGTGTAACAGAACCCATAATGTGTACAATAAGTATAAAATGGAATTGTAGGTTGGTTTCATGTGGATATATAGAAAGTTAATAATTCTGCATTTATTTCTGAGTGTGTGCTTTAATGTATGCATTATGCACATAAACTTCAAAAAGAAGAACTTGACCTTCCTTGTATGGGAGTTGGTAAATTCACAATGAGATGTTAAGAGTTCTTCTTCACTCTACTGCATATGGTAGAAGTTGCCATTCTGGTGATTCATTATATGGATTATTTAAAGATAAGTCAGCGTTTCTGTTATTTCCTCAGTTGAACTCTTCTCTATTAAGGATGCTGTAACTACTGTTTCCAGTCTGTGGGACATTGTTTTGTTTTCTATATTTATTGGCATATTTTTCTTAAGATTTGACAGACTCATTCTCTGTGGCTTGGAACAGTTCTATCCATATTCCATCCATCCCTGGTAATTTATTTCTTCCTTGAGCTTTCAGAGCACTCACTCTCTAGAAGTACCAGTTCTTCGTTGTAGGATTCCTTTCCAAAGGAGTCAGTCTATCATCCCTTTATCCCTTCTGCATAGGTCTTCAGTATGCTGTTTCCACCTTCTCTTGATTTTCTCCTGGTCAGATAATATGCTTCCCTGTTGGTCATTCAGCATTCCTAATCTAGGTTTGAATTGCCCTTTAATATCTTGGATTTTCTGGAAGACACATTTGGTTTTCCCCTTTTGTGGTCCTCCTCCTCCTCTATTTCTTTGTACTGGTTCTCTTTGCAGGTTTTCACGGGCTATCATGTAGAGACAAAGACTTCTATCATCTTTTTCATTTGCTTGTCACCTGGCCTTTGCAATTTTAAGTGCTTCTTCCACCATCCATCTAGGCTTTTCCTTTCTTTTTACAAGTCTTTCTACTTTCTTCTCTGACAATATCTCTGGTTTTAGTCCATAGTTCTTTATGTTCGTAGTCAATTGAGTATAGTAATGCAAATCTGTTCTTTATGTGGACATCAGGAAAGTTTTATGTGGTTTATCAGGAATATTTTTAGATTATATTTTGGCTCTATAGTTATTTTAGTGTTCTTTTTCAGCTTTACTCTAATGTTGGATATTAGCAGTTCATGATCAGTACCACAATCTAATCCTGGTCTTGTTTTGGCTGAGAGAATACAGCTTCTCCATCTTTGTTTCTACTTGCATAGATGGTTGGCTTAACATTCCCTCTAATTTTCAGCCCCACTGGGTAGGGCTCCACTCCTAGCATGACTTAGCCTTCCTATGTGCAACCCTGCCCCCCCGCTCCCCGTGTGGGGGTTTCATTGCAACCATAATGAAAGGGACTGGAAACTATTGCTGTGGGTGTGTGGAGGAGAAGGAAAGCTGTGTGGAGGGGTGGAGTCACGTATGCTCATGCAGTCATACACTTTAGAGGGAACCTTCTTTGGGTTCTGTGTTAACCATTTAGTAATGTCCATGTGTACAGCTCTCTATTTGGTTGTTTGAAGCATGTATTTGCAATAAATAGAGTGTCGGCTTTGCAGAGCTCTATGAGTCATTCTTCTGCTTAATTTCTGTCCTCTAGGCCAAATTTTCCAATTACATTTGGTTCTTCTTTGTGGCCTCTGTGAATGCACACAAATAAGTTTAGACTGTGCTTGCGCAGGACTCCTCGGAATATTCTAGAGCTTAAAAACGTGTGATTAGTAGGACGTTTCCCCGTGGTGCACATGCTACGCCTGCCCGTAATACCTCAGTTCCCTTTTGCCGCCACTGCACTGTTTTTTCCTATTATTCTGATTTTTGATTCTGGTCTGCTTTATCACATATCGTTTCTAATTTCTGGAAAATTTTGACTTTGGACTGACTACGGTATACAGTTATCGGATTTTGAATTGGTTACTGTTTGTTGTTTCTGGGCTATTTTGACCTTCATACTGCTTACCGGTTATGGTTTTTGGATTACGGACTTTATTGTGAACAACTTGGCTTCTGATCTTTTGGCTTTTGATCTTGGACAGACGATCGTTGACATTTTCCCATGAGTCTTCCTTTCCCCCCATTTCCTCCTCCCTTCCTTCTCCTGTTTCCGCCAATTTTTATGGCCTCGTCAGGTCCCTTTAAGCTTTGTACATTGTGTGCCAACAAGATCTCCTTCACGATGGCCACAACCGCTGTTCATTTTGTTTAGGAGAGAGGCACCAGACTCACTCCTGTCAGGAGTGTAAAAAGTTGACCAAACCTACCCTTAAGCTCCGTTTGCAGAGGCTTCATTCATATCTGTGGGACAAATCACTCACACCCTTCGAGCCCAGCAACCATGGAGCCTACCTTGACTCCTGCTCCTCCCACTCCTCGTTCCTGCTACCCCGTCTCCAAGGTCTTCTTCGAAGGCATCTAAACCAAAGAAATCTTTGGCATTGGTGTCGGCCTCAACATTGGCCTTGATATAGAAATCACCGTCTGTGGAAGATCCTAAGAAAAAGAAAGCTGTTGGTAAACAGAAGGCAAAACAATATTCTAAATCTGCTCAACTTTGAGAACTTCCTCCAATACAAGTCTCCCTTCCATCTCCCATACTTGAGGAGTCGTCTCGGAAGTTGCCAGATCGGGACTCACTTTCTGAAGGGGTCAACTCGGCACCACCATCACCGGGTCACGTTTCTGTATCAATACTGAACCTGTCTCCTAGCCATGGTCTTTCTGAGGCTGATGTCATCTCCAGCTCAGCCTTGACCCATTCTAGCCCTATGTAAATCGGGTGGGCAACAGTGATACAGTTATCGAATTCGGAGGTGTCCCCGCGACAATCCCCTCTGCGGAAACGACTGGCAAAACCTCGGCATGTTTCTCAAACCCAAGAGCATCCTCAGCATCGACAGGTTATACTTCTTCATTGCCTGTCTCAGCGTCATGTGTATTCAGATTATGAGGAGCTGATTTTTGTAGAGCTTGATCGATGTGGTGGTCGTGGTTGATACTGTGAGGACGACCTCAAATCTTTCTATGACACCGGCAATTGCATCAGGCCCAAGACAGTTTGTATATGCCTCTCCTTCTGGATCCTTGCCATCACCTTCACCTCCACATCAGCCTCGAACCTATGGCCAACCTGACCCTCTCCCATTGAAGCCTGCTCCTAGATGCCATTTGTCTGAGCAGGAAGTGGCTCATCAGTCATCCCGTCCTTTGAAGTGCTCTTGTGCCCCGTCAATACCATCGTCCTCGATATCACAACCGAGAGCCTCTCACACTCAATCAGCTCGACAGGGTGCACCTGAAACAGATATGTCCATACCGGTTCCACGAGCTTCAGCTTCCATGTTGAGAGGTTGTCCTTGCTCGCCCTCTCCACCTCTTTCCTTTACTAGCGGTTCTTCGGCATCATTGGTTTCTGAATAAGATCCACCTTCGGAAGCTTCCAAAGGGTCTCCTTCAAATTTGCCAACACCAGATTCAGGTGCTGCTGATCTTCATCCCCCATCGCCATCTGAAGACTTTACATAGTACTGTACTCGCAATTGATTCTTCGCATGGCAAAATCTTTGGAGCTTGATATCAAGCAACCGCACCCTCCCAGCAAGACCTTGTTTTTGATGATACAAACCAAGAAAAATCCCCCCCCTAAGCTTGGCCTTCAATCCAGCTCTGTTAGAGCTCATAAAAGATTCATGAAACAACTGCCTACATCTCTTCAGATCTTAGATGTATTGACGTATTGAAAATCATTACAGAACACATGGCAGTGATACGAATTTCCTCACTAAGCACTCTGCACCAGATTCCATTATAGTGCAATCTAAGCAATCAAAGCCTGGGAATCATTCTAAGGTCACTCCCACCAATAGGGAGGCTCAGAAGCTGGATGTCTTGGGTCGTCGCCTCTGTTCCCTAGCCTTTTTTGTCATGAGGGTTTCAAGCTACCAAGCAGCTATGGGAGCATATTAGAGGTAATTGTGGAGCAAAGTTTTGCCAGTTCTCCAAGCTGCTCCTGAGGAGAATAAGACCAATGCTCTCAGTGCTCATCTAGAGGTGACTACACAGCAGCGCTTAGCATCTTGTAACATGCCTGATGCAGCATCTAAGGCCATGACATCGGCTATTACCCTTCACAGGCATGCTTGGCTGTGCTCAGCGGAAATCAATGATGATGCTAGGTCTCAAATTGAAGAACTCCCATTTGATGGTGCTGGTCTATTTAATGAGAAAACAGATGAGGTCATGGACAATTTACATAAGATCCAGAAGACAACACACTCTTATTATGTCCATCATCACTGGTTCTTACAGCAAAGATACCAACTTTGCACTCCAAACTCTGGCAGATCTAGGCCTACAAGTCAACTTTGCAAAGTCTTATCTCCAACTGTCTCAGATCATGGACTATATTGGTGCACGCCTAGACTCAGTCAAGGCCAGAGTTTCCCTTCCTTCCAAACAAATTCAGAAACTACACTGAGCGATCCACTCTTTTCGTACTTATGCCAGCGTTTCTGCCCATCATACACAGCATCTTCTAGGTCTCATGGCCACAACCACGTCTGCTCTCCCACACACATGGCTGAAAATGCACTCTCTACAGGCTTGATACCTGTCTCAATTCAATCATTTGTAACTCCAGAGCTCGCGAGTCAGCTAACATGGTGCACATTCATGCCTCACCCTTCCAGACCATTCAGC